TTATTATTCGGACCAGCGCGTGTCGGCGCTTATCGGCGCCGGTCCATAGAAAAAGGATCAGCGTCAATAGACGCCGATAAGCGCCGATCGGCGCTGATCGGCGCCGATCGGCTTTCGGCTTTCTTTCTGTATACGGCCTAAAGGAAGCCGATTAAAGCAGATCAAGCAAAATGTCGGACTCATCGGACGACGATTTGGTTTTGTTAGAAAATGTTTATTTAAAAATGCGAAAAACAGGTATACATCCTATAAATAGAGAAAGGAAACGTTTCGGAGAATACCATCATTTATTTGTTAAAGAATTGAAATTTGATGATCAAAGATTTTATGCATATGCAAGAATGACTAAAAAAACATTTATTACATTTTGGATTTAGTGGAAAACCGTTTGATGAAGAATTGGCATAAACAACTAATCCTTCCAGAAGAAAGACTTGTTGTCACCATTCGGTAAGTACGAAACAAATATTTTTAGCGCCTAGTTAATAAAAGATAAAGTTATTAGATTTATAAAAAGATTATAACTTAGATTGATTTAATCTAAGGATAATAATTCAAATACAAATCATTCATTATTTGAACAACATAGATCATAATAAAAAAAATCGGAATCAAGTGCTAGTCGGACTCGTGCACGAAGGGTTCCGTATCGTTATCATGTCTTTTATGTCCTGTGAGGTGTATGTCAATAAACAATATTATTATCATTATCTATAAAACAAAGTTATTAGATTTATAAAAAGATTATAACTTAGATTGATTTAATCTAAGGATAATAATTGAAATACAAATCATTCATTATTTGAACAACATAGATCATAATAAAAAAAAAATCGGAATCAAGTGCTAGTCGGACTCGTGCATGCAGGGTTCCGTATCATTATCATGTCTTTTATCCTTTATGACGACCTCCGTGGCCGAGTGGTTTATACGCCGGGTTTCATGGCGTCGCCGACTCGAGAGGTCCCGGGTTCGAATCCCGGTGGGGGCAGATGTTTGTGTGATGAATACGAGCATTTTGTACTCCAGTCATGGATGTTTAATATGTATTTCATATAAAATATACGTATATGTGTATAATATATGTATTCTATCCGTTACCCTAGTATCCCATAACACAAGCCTTTACAGTGCTTACTTTGGGGCTAGGCTAATTGGTGTGAGTGTTGGAAATATTTATTTATTTATTTATTTATTATGTCCTGTGAGGTGTATGTCAATAAACAATATTATTATCATCACACTAATATTATAAAGGCGAAAGTTTGTGAGTGTGTGAGTGAGTATGTTTGTTACTTCTTCACGTCTAAACGGCTGGAGCGATTGTAATACAATTTGGTATGGAGTTAGCTGACACCCTGGATTAACACATAGGCTACGTTTTACTGCGGGAAAATATACCTAATAAACCGCGGGTAACACCGCGGGGCACAGCTAGTTATCTATAAAACACTAGTAGTAAACCTCGCTTCGCTTCGGTGTAGAGCTGTAGTGTAGTCTATAGTTTTTATTCTCGGGCTTGTATTATACACAATGACATTCTTCTGTTACCTAATTACAATAGGCACGCGCCGCCTGGCCCCCCGCCCAGTAGCGTCGGAACCGCTATGTCCCTGCATTTTAAATCTGTAATATCTTCGAAAATATTCATTTAAATTACATGCTTTAAAGGGGCAAATTGATCTATATTAAATGCACAATGTATTTAAGGTACGTAATTGGATAAGAATGAATGTTATATTGCTGAAAATCGCTTCGTAAATAAGCTATTACTTCTCGTAAAATGTATAGGATAAAAATGGTTATTGTGGGTTATCCCTAAGAGATAGACATATACCATCGCGGACTTTTTTGCAGACCTTTTCAAGGTGTACAATACTGTAGTACATTATTTTGATCTATCTCGTAGGGTTTAGTTGGTACTAAGGATATCAAAATGTCATTATCCATTTTTCTACTTAAAAAATAATTGCGTGTAGTAATTGACGTACCTGTTGTCGTTGTTTATTAATTTAAAATGGCAGCTGACCAGCGCGAGTCGGCGCTGATCGGCGCCGATCGGCGCCGCGTGCCTATTGTAATTAGGTAACAGAAGAATGTCATTGTGTATAATACAAGCCCGAGAATAAAAACTATAGACTACACTACAGCTCTACACCGAAGCGAAGCGATGTTTACTACTAGTGTTTTATAGATAACTAGCTGTGCCCCGCGGTGTTACCCGCGGTTTATTAGGTATATTTTCCCGCAGTAAAACGTAGCCTATGTGTTAATCCAGGGTGTCAGCTAACTCCATACCAAATTTTATTACAATCGCTCCAGCCGTTTAGACGTGAAGAAGTAACAAACATACTCACTCACACACTCACAAACTTTCGCCTTTATAATATTAGTGTGATGATAATAATATTGTTTATTGACATACACCTCACAGGACATAAAAGACATGATAATGATACGGAACCCTTCATGCACGAGTCCGACTAGCACTTGATTCCGATTTTTTTTTTATTATGATCTATGTTGTTCAAATAATGAATGATTTGTATTTCAATTATTATCCTTAGATTAAATCAATCTAAGTTATAATCTTTTTATAAATCTAATAACTTTGTTTAAAGATAATGATAATAATATTGTTTATTGACATACACCTCACAGGACATAAAAGACATGATAATGATACGGAACCCTTCGTGCACGAGTCCGTCCAGCACTTGATTCCGATTTTTTTTTATTATGATCTATGTTGTTCAAATAATGAATGATTTGTATTTGAATTATTATCCTTAGATTAAATCAATCTAAGTTATAATCTTTTTATAAATCTAATAACTTTATCTTTTATTAACTAAGCGCTAAAAATATTTGTTTCGTACTTACCGAATGGTGACAACAAGTCTTTCTTCTGGAAGGATTGGTTGTTTATGCCAATTACACCAATTCTTCATCAAACGGTTTTCCACTAAATCCAAAATGTAATTAAATGTTTTTTTAGTCATTCTTGCATATGCATAAAATCTTTGATCATCAAATTTCAATTCTTTAACAAATAAATGATGGTATTCTCCGAAACGTTTCCTTTCTCTATTTATAGGATGTATACCTTTTTTTCGCATTTTTAAATAAATATTTTCTAACAAAACCAAATCATCGTCCGATGAGTCCGACATTTTGCTTGATCTGCTTTAATCGGCTTCCTTTATGTAGGAAGAATCGGTGCCGATAAGCGCCGATCGGCTTTCGGCTTTCTTTCTGTATACGGCCTAAGGGTGCGGCCAGAGTGCACTCAGATTCAGAGTCAGATTCAGATTCTGAAAACAAGCGCGAGAAATAAACAGTGTAGTCTAAGCAGGTTGCCTGCTTTTTCTCGCGTTTTGTTTTCTGAGTCCGAATCTGAATCTGAATCAGGAGTGCAATCTGGCCGTACCCTTCGGGTGCGGCCAGAGTGCACTCAGATTCAGAGTCAGATTCAGATTCTGAAAACAAGCGCGAGAAATAAACAGTGTAGTCGAAGGGTACGGCCAGATTGCACTCCTGATTTAGATTCAGATTCAGACTCAGAAAACAAAGCGCGAGAAAAAGCAGGCAACCTGCTTAGACTACACTGTTTATTTCTCGCGCTTGTTTTCGAAATCTGAATCTGAGTCTGAATCTGAGTGCACTCTGGCCGCACCCTTCGACTACACTGTTTATTTCTCGCGCTTGTTTTCGAAATCTGAATCTGAATCTGAATCTGAGTGCACTCTGGCCGCACCCTAACAAACGATTTTGTCTGACCTTGCATGCTTCACATGATTTGCATTTGATGATTTGCAGGTCCGTGACGCGGAATAATAATGAAGCGAAAATTATCTCCCTAAAAATAGACCCTATTTTCGAATGGTAATCGAATCAAATAACTTTGAGACACCAATGGAAATGAATTTAAGCATTGATCCAAGTCAAGATGTCAGTGCAACGTTAAAGTATAGAAACTTGATTGGAGCTCTTCTGTATGTTGCGAGTGGAACACGGCCAGACGTATCTTATAGCGTTAACTATTTGAGTCGTTTCCAAAATGCTTATAGTGATACTCATTTCAAATATGCCTTGCGAGTTCTCAAATATGTTTACTGTACGAGACATTTAAAGATGAATTTTGACGCCGACTACGAAGAACAATTGGACGCTTATGTAGATGCTGATTGGGCCGCAGATAAATCGGATAATCGGTCGACGACAGGAATCCTTATAAGAGTTTTTAATAATCCGATCATGTGGAAGTCACATAAACAGAAAATAGTGTCAAGAGCATCAACTCATGTCGAGTATTATGCTTTGGCAGACTGTGTTGAAGAAATACTTCCGTTAATAGGTGTGTTACGCGATTTAGGCGTTGAGATTAGGGATCCAGTAAAAATTTACGAAGACAACAGCGGGGCTATTGCGTTGTCAAAGAACGGAAAGTTTTGTAAAAATTCTAAGCATATTGACATAAGCTACCACTTCGTATATGACTATGAGAAAAAGGGTATTATTAATATAGTAAAGGTTCATACAGAAAAACAATTAGCGGATATATTGACCAAGGCATTAGGGAAAAATAAATTTATAAAACTTAGAGAACTGGCAAATGTCAAATGAAATGTTAATGACAGATAGTCTTTTGTTTTTGTTAAGTGATTTAATTATTACGTTGTCGTTATATTGGTATTAAGTTGTTTTTTTGTTGTTTTCTATAAAATCAAGGAGGTGTGTTGAAGATATGATTTTATGTAAAACCTTCTTGTTAGGGCGACTCGATGGCCTGTTCTCTATGTCACCGTTATTTCATTCTAGGACTTTGCTAAATACGTCAACGGTGTATACCTATAAAAATGTAAAGTGTGATTGCGACTACATAAACTAAATATTACGAGCTGATGGTCTTTCCTTTCTACGATCCACTTCCTCAACAATTTTGTATCGATATATCGAATCAAAATATATCGGCAAAAAATATCGATATATCGATATATTTTCAACAAGCCTACAGTAAATTAAAAAAAACTAGTACGTCATTCACGTTATCAACGTTTGTGCTAATTTTAGTGTAAATTTTATGTTACCAAACATCTATTTTGTAGAATAATTAGTGCGAGGATTTTGAGAAAGCGTTTCAAGCAAATTGCAATCTTGAAAGGTATCCCACATCTAAAAATCTATATTTATTTTATGTAAGCTGGTGCCACGGACGATATCACAGTCCGCCATTTTGATTCACTGTTGATGGATTTTTGTAGTTTTACACTTTAATTATTAGAATAATAATACTCTATTAATTTAAAAATCATGGCAGAAAATAATTCAAAAGAACCGCCTATTCAAACAATGAATGGTATGCCACCAAATCATAATCCTTGGATGTATGGTCTGTATCCCCAATACAATGGATATGGTGGCATGTATCCACCTTATTACAATCACTATTACAATCAACAAATGGGAAACAATGGTGGATTTGCAAACAACAATTGCAACCAATTTCAGCAAAGTAAAGATACCAAAAACGATTTTAGTTGCCAGCAATTTATGAAACCACCCATGCCCAGCCCCTTGTTAGGAATGTCGCCTCTTGACACTAGTCGTCCTTTCTTCAACCAGTCTCCAATCAGGTTTAATCTTAATGGAAATAGGAAAACTGCTCCTATACCACCTAATGAAAACCCCCTTTTAACAAACAATGGTGGTTCGAAAAAAAAACGCAAGAAAGGTAATAAAATGGCAGATGACAATAACATGAATAATCTTAATGTTTTGCCGCCTTTGCCGGATCATCCACCTCCTTTACCGCCATGCCCACCACCTGATTTACTTAAACCTCCCCCACCACCCCTAGATGTTCCACTTCCTCCACCCATGTCTACTGAAGACATTCCTGAACCACCAGAGGCACAGAACACTGAAAGCACCTCAGAAAAAGAATCTGATGATGTTTTCACACATGATTCCTCTGATATCCTTAAATCATCTTCTATATGTCAGTCATCATCAGGGACATGGCCAGAGAGCCTTGAAAGATATATCAAAAGATGCTATGAAAAATGTAAAACTGGATTTGATAGAGATCAGATTGATATATGTCTTAAGGGTCGTATTACGGCTGCTGCCAACAAAGATGAAATATGGACTAGAAATTGGGATGAGGAACCTATACCTAGTGTTCATAGCGAACGTAATAATCTCTCAGTGAAACCTGTGCGTGGCACATTAAGTTTATACCAAAAATCTGAACCAGATCAAAAATGTAAGTCTGGTTTCAATGGACGTAGTTTTAATGGACATAAAACATCACCTCAAAGAAGGCGTAGGCAACATTCTAGAAGTAGATCTATATCTAGAAGTCCTAGAAAACGAATTAGGTAACGAAATTTCTTTTATTAAGATATTCTATACACATTCATTTTGATGATCAATATTAACGAATTTTAATGTTTCAGCACTTCCTCGACATCTGGTGATGAATTTGAAGAGAAGAAAAGCTTCAAATCAAAGGCTCGCCAGAAAGTCAAGGATAGATTATCTTTGGATCAAAAGAAATCTGAAAAGTATAAGAATCAAAAAAAGAAAGCTAATTACTCTGATTTTATCATTGAAGATGTTACAGGAAATGCAGAGAAACTTCAGAAAAGAGCTGAAAGATTTGGAAGTTCTGGTAATGTACCCTCCATAGCAAGTTCCATACAAGCAGGTAAGAGAAGTGAGCCAACTCCAAAAAAACCTATAATTCAAGATACTGAAGGAGAATATGACTTGAATGATATGCATATAGTTGGAACATGCTCAGATATTGAGAAGTCATTCCTTAGACTGACAAAAGCACCAGAAGCTTGCGAAGTAAGACCTGTTTCAGTCTTACAAAATTCACTTAAAAATGTCAAAGAGAAATGGATAGAAAAACAAGATTACAGATATGCTTGTGATCAATTAAAATCAATAAGACAAGATTTAACAGTAAGTATTTGATTTTAATGTGTTTAATAAATAAATAATCTAGCTAACCAAATTTGAGCAATAAACGCAAATGTAAATAAGGGTAGATATCTAATACAGTTTAACCATTCTTAAGACATGACAAAGTATGCTGTGTACTGTGTACTGCAAATGCACCTGTGCGATTATCTGGTATAAAATTATCATTTAATGTAACTCTCTTTCAGGTTCAAGGTGTAAGAGATAGTTTTACTGTAGAAGTGTATGAAACTCACGCAAGGGTAGCATTGGAGAGAGGAGATCATGAAGAGTTCAATCAATGCCAGACACAACTAAAAATGTTGTATGATGAATTACCTGATTGTAGAACAAATAGTGCAGAATTTACTGCCTACCGGATATTATACTATATCTTCACAACAAACACATTAGGTTAGTTTCATAATAAATAGCATTAGCATTGAGTCTTTTGTATTAAAAAAATATTTTACTTTAATGGTCAACAATATTAAATACCCTAGATACACCAACACCAACAATATCATACCCGAAACCTGTCCAAAAGGTACATTGGACGACCCACAGAGCTCTGTAAGGTCGCAAGTCAAAAACAACATACAAAAGCCTTTATTGCTGATAATTACTTAATAAACACATCATTAACCTTTACTTACAATTCAGCATGTCCTGCAGACACATAGGCCTCCTCCAGCCTTTTCCACCCTGATCTATCCCTTGCTAACCTCAGCCATAGTGGGCCAGCTACCCTTCTTATGTCATCTGACCATCTTTTCAGCTGTCGTCCACGTTTACGGTAAGTGTTCATTCTGGGGATCCATTCTCATTCCTTGTCCACTTCTCTATTTTGTCTCTTGGGACGTGACCTGCCCACTTCCATTTGAGTTGTTTACTTTTTTGAATGACATCCTCAATTTTTGTGCGTTTTCTGATGTTGGTAGCTCTCTTCTTGTCACTCTTTCTGTATCCAAGAATACTTCTCTCCATGCCTCTCTGACACGTTCTTAGTTTGTTTTGCAGTGCTTGTGTTATGGCCCAAGTCTGGCAACCATATGTTAGTATTGGCAAGATACATGTGTTAAAGAGTTTTCACTCATGGTGTAGTGGGCATTCTTCATGATATCTTTTAGAGACCAGTACCTTTTCCAAGCATTAACAATCCTTCTGTCGATTTCCTGTGCCATCTGGTCTTGAAATGATACAAGCTGTCCGAGATAAATGTACGATTTCACATACTCCAACTTTTCCTCATTGAGATAGATGTTGGTTTCTAACCTGTTTGTCATGACTTTGGTTTTTGACCTGTTAATTATCAACCCCACCTCTCTAATTTTTGTGGCAAGCTCTTGCATCAAAAACAACATAAGGAATTTTTTAAACATTGAAAGTCACCTTTAATGTATACTGCATAAGGTCTTAATTTAAACGCATGGGTCAAAGAGTAATGACAGTTCGAAATGCAAGCTCGTAAAATTTTACGACTTATTGCTGAATGCGGAAGAATATAGACCTTATTTCTATGACCCTACGCGCAATTCTGAATGCGCTGTTAGCAATTTAGCAGGTACGGACCGCGAGGAAAAGAGACGGCTATATTACCGACCATACAGTTTATAGTAATTAATAAAACAAAATTTGTTTCAAATGCGTTAAATCAACAAACATTGATTAGATACATGTCGATCTTTGTTGAAAAAACGACATTTTACGTACTATAAGTATTTTTTTCGCATTTTTCACGGAGCTCTGCGGCAACTTGACTTTTCAACGGTCCTCGCGTGACTGAACCAAGAAGTGCTTGAGTGGTTTTCAAGCACTTCATGATTGGGACACATTTTGAGTGGATGTGGTGTATCTAGGGTATTTAATATCGTTGTTAATGGTATATATATGTTCTTCTTGTTTTCAGATATAACAACTATATTTCAAAGCATATCTAAGGAAGAGAGAGAAAATGAGTGTATCAAACATGCACTTGAAACCAGGTGTGCTTGGGCTACAGGAAATTTGCACAAATTCTTTTTACTATACAAGACTGCGCCATTGATGGCAGGTTACCTGATGGATTGGTTTGTGGAGAGAGAAAGGAAGCTCTACCTCAAATACATCATTAAGTCGTACGTCATTATTTTCTAGATCTTAACACATTTGAAATGTCATATTTTCTTTTTATAAAAAAAGGACCATACCCATAGCATCATAGCCTATAGACGATTGCGATAACGTCAAATATCACTTCCGCCTTTGGCTTCTTTTAGCCTATTGCCTACCCTGTGGAGCCCTTGAACCTTACTCACCGACACAATCACAACACCACCAAAAAGTTTTGTTACTGAGGTTACTTCCACAGACGGGTGCTCTGTTTCTAATTTTGCAACTAAGTAGACACAGGGAAGATGCATATATAATATTTATGAAAATTTTATGATTAAAATGTTAAAAAAATATAAAAGAAATGCCACTGCAACGTTTTTATTTTACATAATGTTGTTTTTTTAACAATTATTACGAATTAAAAATACTTGAAACGGAACGTATTTTAAAACACCAATCAGCGTTTAGTGACGTCACTCCTGTTATGACAACTTCTTTGAGGTTATGGTTGTTAAAGTAAATATTATTTTATGGGAATATTTATTGCGTTTACATTTAATAAAAATGGAAGTTGCGTTTATCAAAGCAGACTCCAGGAATTTACCAAGAGTTAGCGTTGACATGGTTATAACTTTTTTTGTCCAAAGTGCAGAGTTTTTAAGTGTAGAAATTAAAGGGACTAAATTACTACGGTTTGTAAAAATCGTAGTTGTTAAACTTCGTATTTTATTCAGCGGCTTCTACAAATCTTACGGCGATAACGCAATCGGCTATGTCCAAATTAAAAGAGATGGAAAATTATGTACAGTAAAAGGTTGAGTTCTCCGGAGCATAAAGTACATAAAGAAGGTTATCGTGTTACAGTTATTTTAAATGAAACGCAAAGCTTGGTTCAGTCCTGCCAATGTGAAGATTGTGCCACACATTTTAAACTTTATCTAATTTTCGACGGCATTCTCCAACTGTAAAATTAAAAATATGTTATAGACAGGTTTTGTAAGTATTAGGTAGGTTACTAATGCGTTTTTACGTACAAGCAGATTAATTAAGCATATAACAAGTATATTCGCCGACTTACGTCAAAGTGATCTTCTCAGCATCGAATAATGGTCTTTGGAGAATAATTATCATTTCTCTTCGCAGTTTGAAACCACTTTTTTTTCAGTTTTGGGTCAGAAGTTCCAGTCAAAAACAATTTATTTGGGAACTTTGTTGAAGTAGATTGGCACAAAACATGAGTCAACACGGCTTTTTTTCGGAATATTAGTGGTATTGTTATGATCACATGATGTTGATGGATAGTCCATTTTAAATTTTTCAAAAAAATATTTCGAAAATCGAAAAAATATGCAAATGTATGAAAATTTAAAGCCAGCAACGAACAATTACGACCAGTGACAGACAGGAGTGACGTCATCGCAATCATAGGTTCGTTTTCGCGCGAAAATTTAAATTGTAAATTTAAAACCGCATTTTTTCCGATAAATCACAATGTTTTAATTTTTTCATATATCTGTGGTTTATTCTACATGGAATTCTTTAAAATGAAAACAAAAATAAAAATATTGCATCTTCCCTATTATCAGGTCCGAATTCCAATCTCTATATGCATATAACACAAAACATCACATAATTCAAAAGTTAAATTTTTGAACACAAAATATACAGGCAAAAAACAGAGGCATAAAAGAAAACATTTTGATGATTGATTTATATCAGTAACAACTGAAGCTGATTTTATGTAGAGATTTACTTTGAAATTATTAGATTTCAAAGTCAACCTAACCTTTAAGTCATTTCTATATGCTGAGTGATTGTCTAATATTGTTGTTCTTATTCCAAATCTATGTCAACTGCATAACACCATTACTTATAGTAATTTATTCTTGGTTTTGAGGTCATTGTCAGCATACAATAATCTTAAAACAATAAACAGTTTCAAATCAACTATATAATATATATATATATATATATAAAAGATATGTAATCCAACAAAAAAGAATTATTGCATTCAGAGTCATTTTTGACATCGTCATGTTTGCCAATTGACCATTGGCAAAAAATTTTCAGTAAACACTCCGTGTAAGTCGTAAACTGACATATAATGCTATTTTTGCAATTAGTTATAACTTTTAAAATACAGTGAACACCTTTTTCTTTCTACTATAATCCAACATATTATTGTTTTATGATAGATATGTTAACTATTGCAGATGTATTTCAGGACTGCTACCAGTCCTGGTTTGTTATTTTAACCTTTTCTTATATGTGCAGCTACAGGCAGTCGGTTCCTGTGGATTTCATCGTTCGAGAGCTGGCGTTCGAGTCTAATGCTAAAGCCTTAGAATTCTTAAGGAAATTCCCTATCACATTTACTGGCGGCGATCAGAATCAAATAGATTGCAAGGCCAGCACTCAAAGCGTAGGGGGTATATAACATTTTCTTCTTGATAAATGTCGTGTCGTTATGTCATATTCTTGCGTGGTGATGTAAAGCACCATGTGAGCACAGGTTCCGACATAAGTAAAGCAGTTGTTCTCCTGGCTCGTGTCATTCTCAGCATTAATTTCCACCAGCTTAATTAGGATCAAACGGCACAACAATCAAGACATAGCATTCAAATTATATAATTTAAAAGAAGCTACATCCAGAAGACACCAGGTAAAGAAGAAAGAAGCATCCTAGTGGGTTTAAAGAACAATTGTTTAATGTGATAAAGGACTAAGAAATTTTTACAAATGGACTTTTTAAAGTTTTCTCCGTGAATCTTCTGTAAATATGTATGTGTTGTAAATTTTTATTTCCTGTTAATGTTTTTTAACTTACAATTATACATAATTTAACACATGCAATTGTCATATTTAATAATAAAACATCATTTTTTTAAGAATATTATAACGAGTTTTGGTTCATCCAACCCAATAGATCAAAAAGTCAAAACTGACATACACCCAGTATCTGCAGAGCATCACATCGATCAATTCTACCAAGTTAACGTAAGAGACTAGGGCAAACGCACAAGCGCTCAGGCAGCCAGCACAGCCACACAAACATAACGCAGACATTGTAGCTACAGATTTGGCTTGCAGGTTGCTGATGCAGGCAAATCCGGCCCACAGATCACTATATATGTAGCAAGCTACAGATGCGACAGTCAATTTTGCTTGCTTCCACCAAGAACAGTTGTGGCACTGCGGTCGTTTCTGTCCACAGATAATTAAATGTGCATCTGAATTGAGTGATCCTTTTTTAGTTTTCAATAAAACCAAAACGTACATTTAGTGTAAAATTGTCAAAACTCATAACCGAAATAAAAAAAATTGTCACTCTTAATTCAGACATTAGGCAAAATAGGTATACGCTGAATCTCAGAAAACTTTAACGTTGTGAACGTTGATATTAAAAAAATGTACAGAATTTGTCACATTATTTTACAAAAAATCAAGTTACTTCAACGTAAATCCAGGAATCTATGATAGTTTCATTGGATCACTCAATCCTGACGCATTTAGATTGAGTGATACTAGAAATACCGCGTTAAGTTTACGAAGGGCATAATATTTTTTGACGTGACAACGTCTTAAATTAGGTTGCGGCTGGGAGTCACTTATGAAAAAGTGTAACGCTCGGTAACGTTACGATGAGTCTCTCGTGTTAAGTTTAAGTTTACATGTACAATGTTTTAGTAAACAAAATATATTTCTATAGTTAAAATTTGTGCAATTCTTATTTTCATTCAATTCCTTGTTCCTATTGTGCAATTTAATTATATTCATATCAATAAATATTCTACCGAGAAAAAGACGTTGTCACGTAAAATCTTCGCCCGTAAAACCGACTTTACAGGCAACCATTTTTTTATCACCTTAGGTTAACTTTTGGAAATATCTGTACAAATTAATAACACACCACAAATGCTTATAGTTAAAAAGTTATGACCAATCAAACCTTTTTTAATTTGCTGAACTGAGTGATCCTTATAAACGCAGATAACTACCCCTTGGTATAAAGTATACACAAAATAGGTTGAAAATTTGTACAATATTTTGACCGCTGTGAAGTTAGCCCCCCACTTTTTGAATTTTATTATTATCTAGGTTGTTCTGGGTTGTTCTATGTTTGTTCTACATTGTTCCAAAGTATTATTTGAAAAAACTAAAATTTGAAGCTGCCAGAGAAGAAAAACCGTTTTTCTATGGTAGCCCCCCATGTTTGGAAATTCAATATTTTTTTAGTTGTTCCAAGTTGTTCTAGTTGTTCCGAACATTGTTCCAAAGTATTATTTGAAAATATTCAAATTTGAAGCTGCCAGACAAAAAAAACGTTTTTATGGTAGCCCCCCATGTTTGGAAATTCAATATTTTTTTAGTTGTTCCAAGTTGTTCTAGTTGTTCCTAACATTGTTCCAAAGTATTATTTGAAAATATTCAAATTTGAAGCTGCCAGACAAAAAAAACGTTTTTATGGTAGCCCCCCATGTTTGGAAATTCAATATTTTTTTAGTTGTTCCAAGTTGTTCTAGTTGTTCCGAACATTGTTCCAAAGTATTATTTGAAAATATTCAAATTTGAAGCTGCCAGACAAAAAAAAAACGTTTTTATGGTAGCCCCCCATGTTTTGAAATTCAATACTTTTTTAGTTGTTCCAAGTTCTTCTAGTTGTTCCTAACATTGTTCCAAAGTATTATTTGAAAAAACTCAAATTTGAAGCTGTCAGGCAAAAAAAACCGTTTTTGAGATAGCCCCCCATGTTTGGAAATTCGTTATTTTTAAAGTTGTTCCCAGTTGTTCTAGTTGTTCCTAACATTGTTCCAAAGTATTATTTGAAAAAACTCAAATTTGAAGCTGTCAGACAAAAAAAACCGTTTTTCAAATAGCCCGCCAAGTCAAATCGTACTAGAGACAATAAATAAATCAACAATAATTTTAAACAATGACGATTGTATCAGTACAACCGTGGGCTATATCGTTCCAATTTCATTTAATCATTTTGAATAAAATTAATAGTTATAAGACAAGAAAACATTACACTATAGGGTAAACTCCCTAATTGTTGGCACTTTAAGAGTAGGTTCCATGTCAGTCAGACATTAAATTACCATAAAATCACATCTAAATGAGTTAGTACACAACACATGTAACAGTATCAAGGAAATTTAGTTCAATCTTTGTTTTCATAATAGTACAGTCAATGAAGGCAAAAATCAGCTATAACCTCCGATTTCGATGAACCTCCATCGATTTTCATGAAAAATGGTGATGAGGTGGGGGATACCATATGAAACAAATGTAACATGGTGCCAACTTGCGCTTTTTCCCTAGGGGTAGATACCACCCCTTCTCGGGGGTAAAAATTATTTTAAAAAAAATATTTCAAAAATAACTCCAGGAATCGATAGAAAGACAAACTCTAAGCAAAAGTTATTATATTAAGTTTTCGAAATAAATCAATACTTTCTGAGTTAATAATGATCAAAGATTGTGATTTTGCGTCAAAAAATTCATGTTTTAAGCGGTTTTTCATAAATATTTCAAAAGCTATGAGTTTAAAGAAAAATATATTATTACTAGACGCAACGAATATTCGGTTACTATTCGGTATTCGGCCTATTCGGCTGTTTTTATTATATTCGGCCGAATACCGAATACCTACATATTATTCGGCCGAATACCGAATACTTAAATAATATATTTTGTCATAGAGAAATAATTGGTAAAATGAAAATGAATATCGATTGATTACGTAGGTATATATTCATATTTTCATTTCTGTTATATATAATCATTAAAGTAGCCATTGGTACATAATCATCTTCTGAATTGGAAAAATGGAGGATTCTATGTATTTGAATTATTGTGGTAATCAAAATTTAAAAGGGTAAGGTTCTCATTTCTTTTATAATCATTTTTTAAGTAGTCATTGGTACATAAAACAGGAACATATTTTAATCATTTTCTGTATTAAACAAGTTAAGAATTTTTCTATGCATTTGAATTATTTTCATAATAAAAATTTAGAAGGGGAAGGTTATGGTGCAGAAAGACTAAATTTTCTGCATTATTAGGAAGTAGTAGAAATTCTTTTTTTCTCGTACACCATCCCAGCTTCAGAGTAAAGGCGCTCTGAATAAACACTACTTCCTGGCGCCGACAAATATTTTGCTGCAATCTTAATCAAACACGGAAATTCAATTTTCCTTGCTGCCACCATGTATATGGATTGTCATGACGTGATATATTACTAATATTTAAGAAAAGATCCATTTCTGTTGAAACTGCGTTTGACTGAATTGCACTGCAAACAAAGGGGCGCGAAACAATCACGTTTGTACAAGTTTTTGGCGCTAAAATCCAGCCGAATACTTTTGCCTAATATTCAGCTATTCGGTCAGGGGCCTCGCCGAATATTCGGTATACTGCCGAATATACTATTCGTTGCAAGTCTAATTATTACCAAAATTGAAGCTAATAAAAAAAACAAACACCTTCTTTGAAAAACCTTCTTATATGAATTCAAAGTGAGCTATAGGTAATTGTATGTATATATTTTTTCGACGAGTACTTAAATCTAAGTTTCCAACACTAAATAACGGGAAACCTATGCATTTTGATGAATGGTTGGAATTATTTTTCGTTTTTCCTAAAAAAATAAGTGTTATCTTATTTTTATCATAACTTTTTCAATTTTGAAGCTATTAACTTTTTACAGTGCTCATTATAAAGGTATTTCTAAGGAATTTAAAAAGTGCTCCGGAAGTGTATGTCATAAATTCATCGGTTTCCCGTTATTTAGGTTTGAATACTTAGATTAAGTACTTGCCGAAAAAAATATATGTACATACAATTACCTATAGCTCACTTTGAATTGAAATTAGAAGGTTTTTCAAAGTAGGCGTTTGTTTGTTTTTATATTAGCTTCAATTTTGGTACTAATGTCTTTTTTGTAAAGCTCATAGTTTTTGAGTTATTTATGAAAAACCGCTTAAACATGTATTTTTATCACGCAAAATCACAATATTTAATCTTTGATAACTCAGAAAGTATTGATTTATTCCGAAAACTTAATATAACAAATTTTACTTAGAATTTGTCTTTCTATCGATTCCTGGAGTTATTTTTATTAAAATAATTTTCACCCCCGAGAAGGGGTGGTATCTACCCTCAGGGCAAAAGCGCAAGTTGGTACTATGTCACTTTTGTTTCTTATGGTATCCCCCACCTACTTACCAATTTTCATGAAAATCGATGGCGGTTCAACGAAATCGGAGGTTGCAGCTGATTTTTGCCTTCATTGACTATACCATTATGAAAACAAAGATTAAACTACTTTCTTTGATACTGTTACATGTGTAACATGTGTTGTGTACTAACTCATTTAGATGTGATTTTATGGTAATTTAATGTCTGACATGCTACCTACTCTTAAAGTGCCAACAATTAGGGAGTTTACCCTATATTCTAATGTTTTCTTTTCTATTAATTTAATTCAAAATGATTCAATGAAATTGGAACGATATAGCCCACGGTTGTACTGTTGTTGTACAATCGTCATTGTTTAAATTGATTTTTGATATATTTATTGTCTCTGGTAGGTACGATTGATTTTATTTTATAAATAAAAGTTTTTATTTGTCTTACAGCTTCAAATTTTATTTTTTTCAAATAATACTTTGGAACAATGTTAGGAACAACTAGAACAACTTTAAAAATAACGAATTTCCAAACATGGGGGGCTATCTCAAAAACGGTTTTTTTTGCCTGACAGCTTCAAATTTGAGTTTTTTCAAATAATACTTTGGAACAATGTTAGGAACAACTAGAGATCTTGTGCAGTTTTCACAGACGAAAATGGAATGTTCCATACATAAATAACGGCTGCACAACAACAAACGCATTTCGTTTTGCGGTCTTTTTTTGTAGGACATATTTCACATTATCATCATTCATTCTCTATCAATCTTTCATGCTGTCCTTCGTCATCCATTTTGTTTTGTGTCACTTTCAAAACTTCTTTCGCTGACATTATCAATATCTTGGTAACTACTAGACTCGTCGGATGAACTAACTTCAGCTTCTTCGAAAAGACGTAATAATTTGTTTTGATTATCTTCGTAAGATATTCTAGATTTTAAGCATAAAAAAAAAACATAAAATAACAAATAAAATAAAATTTGTTTGATCAAATTCGTTACAAGTAGCGTAAGGTGGGTTTCACACACCCACTGACAGCTTTCAACCTCATCCACACCATACGCCGGGCGGCGGTCGACTGAAACAGTAGCAAGGGACGCTTCCGTAACTCCCCCCGCGCAGCTACTCCAGCGCACTAAGCGTATCAACAATTCGTTATTAAAATATTAATCGTTTTTTCTAGGTCTGGGTGTACCACACCTAACCTTACGCTCGCCGGGTTAACGAAAGTAATAGCTAGGCCTGAAAATGAAAATGCTTATCAATACGGATTATCCACATTACATGCCTGGATTCGTTGCATGGAAATGATATTACACATATCATATAATCTATCTTTCCAAACGTGGTCTGCTACAAGCGAAGAAAAAAAAAGACTCAAACAAGAAAAAAAGGCTGAAGTACAAAAGCGATTTCGTGAAGAGTTGGGTCTAAATATCGATAAACCACGACAGGGGACGGGAAATAGTAATGATGGCAATACTGCTAGGAGATTTTTTTACAATGCTGCCTGTTCTGCTGATATCACAGGGATTGACATTGATTTAATTAAACGGTTATAAATAATTTTGCAGGCTTTGTCATCTGGTATAGTAGTAGATAGTAAGAAATTTGGTAATTATACTCTGGAAACTGCAAGAATATACGTGAGTAAATATAGTTGGTATTACATGCCATCATCTGTCCACAAAATTTTAATTCACGGAGAGAGTATCATAAACCATTTCGCGGTATTGCCAATTAGGCAACTTTCAGAAGATGCTCAAGAATCTCGCAATAAGGACTATAAAAAATTTCGCTTACACCATGCTCGGAAATGCTCTCGAATAGCTACAAACGAAGATGTGTTTAATACACTACTTTACAATTCAGATCCATATATAACGAGCATAAGAAAACCATATGCAAAAAATGTAAAGGAGCTCCA